AGGAGCTATTAGGAAATGCTGCCGTCCGGCGCCATGAGTTGACTCCGCCCCATGTTTTCTTTTTTAATTTTTTTATGCTTATTTTTTTTTTTTATGATTCTTTAATTTTTATTTATATTTTTTTTTAACGCACAACTTTATTGCTATTACATAGGGGGCTAAGAAGCCCCCTAATGGGATAGCCAATTTACATGACAGGTCCTCTTAAGGGAGACATCAGGGGTCTCCAAGACCCCTAATGTCACCTAGGGACCCCCAGAGAAGCTAATGAAGTAGAGATCAGCTTGATCAGCTTCTGTAGCTGGAGAGTGACACGTTTCTTCTCCATCACTTCTGTACTGTATCATGCAGTGATGGAGAAGAAGGGAAGTGATATGCTGACAGTGTCACGCACGGCACAGTACCTGCAGGATCTCTGTTGGCTTCACACCTGTGTTCTCTGGACCTCGGAAGCCCCTTCCGTCTCCTCGCGGCCACACCTCCGTTGCGCCAGGCTGACTGCTGGGTAATGCAGTCCACTGGCCGGCGGCAGCTCTCCTGCTCCTCAGTTCGCCGCGGGCGGCGTGAGAAAGGGAAAATGAATGTAAAGCTCCTGGTCGGCCGTTTAATTACAACGGCCGGTCGGGAAGCTACTCGTCCAGCACTGGCGTCCACTCGTCACAGACGAGTGGACGAGTGCATTTTTCGAGCCCTGTATATACATTTGAGTTCCATCCACTCAAGTGCAGTCCACCACCATGTTTTTGTTTTTAACTTTAATAAAATCCCTCTTTATACACATTCTAAACACACAAAAACAGTTTTAGTAAAGAAAAGAGTCATACAGCGAGGGGTAATCATCCCCCTGAGCCCCCCGAGACCTTGCGAGATATATTGTGCGTATAAACATAGATCAGATTGTCTCCAATTGATTGATAGCCCCAAATAAGACCGAAGGGTTACTAAAGATTACACATCTCCATCAGCTAGAGCATTGACAGGTCACACCCAAGGCCGACCCAGACTGCTAATCCACTCCTCCCACGCGAGCGGCAGCCTATCACTGGGCTCAACGAAATTACACGCCTCCCCCTTGTTGAATTTAAAGAAGACAGATCTCCCGCGGTCTCCAGCATCTTGAGGCTTGATAAAGAGGTAACCCCTCGAAACGCGTAGCCACCGGAGACACCCGATACCTTTTATACCCCTGTGACCACAGCCTGACTGCCATCACTGACACGCGACACACGGCGTCCCTCAGCCGCGTGTAGCTCCTCCCCCTTCTTTCCATTCCTGACGGACGCGGCTCGGCCCGGCCAGTCGAGTACGCGGACGGCCATACGGATGCACATCCATTCTAGACCAGCTTCCCACACCACCGGAGACACCCCTTCAAACCAGGATCGGTCTAAGCAGATGATCGCACAGACAACAGGGGAGCTCCTAATCGTGAGTTCCATTGTGATATTTCCATAGATACCTAAACTCCACACTCTAAAGATCCTACAGTGTGCCTGACTCTGTCCTCCTTTTTTATATATCCAATGGTCCCACACTTTGATACAAACATTGGTAGTTGCGCTCCTGATTTTTTGCTTTTGTTTTATGGATATATAGTGACTTT